TTGCTGGTAGGTACAACACTTAGCCATATAATCTGTAATCTCTCTGCGCATACCACTCCATCAAAAATACCTCTTCAGATCCTTGTACATCTTCGTTGTGCCTGGGTGTACCATATATATGCTGCGATCTGCCTCATCAAAAAGTTCCCTCTTTAGCTATAGATTGTTCAACATAACGATCATGTCCTTCATCCGAAGGCCTCCATCTACTCCAATAGTCCAATCATGTTTGGGTTCTTTGGAGATCTCCCCCTTACAGGTTTGAATCCATGAATCCTCTAACCGAGCTCCGACTACTCAATCTCCCCAAGATGGTTGTACTGATAAAGCTCCTAAGAAAACACTGCTCCCGCCAATCTTTGACCTGAAATCATAATGACTGAGGGTATAAAGATCCCAATATAGTGAACACCTCAAAGCTGCTAGCCCACGATGACGCTTCCTGCTCAACGCGTCCGCTACCACATTCGCCTTTCCCGGATGATACTGTATAGCGAACTCATAATCCTTAATAAACTCTATCCATCGTCGTTGCCTCTGGTTAAGTTCTTTCTGTGAGAAGAGATACTTCAAACTCTAGTGATATGTGAATAACTCAAACTGCACTCCATACAAATAATGCCTCCACGCCTTCAATGCAAAGACCACTGCTGCTAGCTCCAAATCATGTGTGGGATAATTCTGCTCATGAGTCCTCAACTGTCTCGAGATATAGGCTACAACTCTCTATGTCTGCATCAATACTCCTCCAAGACCCGATAAAAATGCATCAGTGTAGACAACAAAAGCCTTACCACTACTGGGAATAATCAATAAAAGACGTATCGTCCGCATAGAATTATTTCTATGCGGTAAAATTATTAACTTCTGGTTGTTCTGTTTGGAGTTTATTACCACACTGCCCTTGTATTCGAGAAACGGGGTATATTTCTTTTTGGACCCTTCGCAAATTCGTTTTTTACAGAGACTAATTCAAGTTATCTTGGCTTCATATGTTTTAATTTTTGGACCCTTCGCAAATTCGTTTTTTACAGAGACTAATTCAAGTTATCTTGGCTTCATATGTTTTAATTATATTCATGATAATTTCATTATTACGTAGATTATATCCTCCGTAAACTATATTCTCTATAATTCGTACAGTTTTCTTTTATGGATCATTGCTAGGGTTCTTCATAAAAACCCATTTCTTTTCCCTAAAAAAAGAACAAAAAAAATGCAATGTAAATATAATAGGAAAGGACTAATTTATCTTTAGAGAACTCTGATTTATTGTTCTCACGAGTTTCCCTAAACTCATAAGGTAATCAAAAGTTTTGACTTATTTCAATAAAAAAATGATCCGTTAAATCCAAGTTTCCTAAACATATAGCATATGAATATGACTTGCATTGATAGACATGCGTTTGAACTGATATTAATGACACGTACTGATACATTCAACATCGCTCTCTCCTTCTCCCTAAACGAT